ACACCAGGGCTCAGAGGAACATCAGGGCTCTGAAGCACACCAGAGCTCAGGGACACATCAGGGCTCTGGAGCACACCAGGGCTCAGGTACACTTGAGGACTCTGGAGCACTCCTGGGTTCAGGGCCACATCAGGGCTCTGGAGCACACCAGGGCTCAGGGGCACATGAAGGTTCTGGAGCACACCAGGGCTCAGGGGCACATCAGGGCTCTGGAGCACACCAGGGCTCAGGGGCACATCAGGGCTCTGGAGCACACCAGGGCTCTGGAGCACACCAGGGCTCAGGGGAACATCAGGGCTCTGGAGCACACCAGGGCTCAGGGGCACACCAGGGCTCTGGAGCACACCAGGGCTCATGGGAACATCAGGGCTCTGGAGCACACCAGGGCTTAGGGGCACATCAGGGCTCTGGAGCACACCAGAGCTCATGGGAACATCAGGGCTCTGGAGCACACCAGGGCTCAGGGGCACATCAGGGCTCTGGAGCACACCAGGGCTCAGGGACACATCAGGGCTATGGAGCACACCAGGGCTCAGGGGCACATCAGGGATCTGGAGCACACCAAAGCTCAGGGGCACGTCAGGGCTCTGGAGCACACCAGGGCTCAGGGGCACATCAGGGCACTGGAGCACACCAGGGCTCAGGGGCACATCAGGGCTCTGAAGCACACCAGGGCTCAGGGGCACATCAGGGCTCCGGAGCACACCAGGGTTCAGGGGCACATCAGGGCTCTGGAGCACACAAGGGCTCAGAGGCACATCAGGGCTCTGAAGCACACCAGGGCTCAGGGACACATCAGGGCTCGAGCACACCAGGGCTCAGGGGCACATGAGGGCTCTGGAGCACACCAGGGCTCAGGTGCACATCAGGGCTTTGAAGCATACCAGGGCTCAGGGACACATCAGGGCTCTGAAGCACACCAGGGTTCAGGGGCACATCAGGGCTCTGGAGCACACCAGTTCTCAGGGGCACATCAGGGCTCTGGAGCACACCAGAGCTCAGGGGAACATCAGGGCTCTGGAGCACACCAGGGCTCAGGGGAATGTAAGGGCTCTGAAGCACACCAGGGGTCAGGGACACATCAGGGCTCTGGAGTACACCAGGGCTCAGGGGAACATCAGGGCTCTGAAGCACACCAGGGCTCAGGGACACATCAGGGCTCTGGCGCACACCAGGGCTCAGGGACACTTGAGGACTCTGAAGCACACCAGGGCTCAGGGACACATCAGGGCTCTGGAGCACACCAGGGCTCAGGGGCACATGAGGGCTCTGGAGCACACAAGGGCTCAGGGACACATCAGGGCTCTGGAGCACACCAGGGCTCAGGGACACATCAGGGCTCTGGAGCACCCCAGGGCTCAGGGGCACATCAGGGCTTTGAAGCACACCAGGGCTCAGGGACACATCAGGGCTCTGGAGCACACCAGGGTTCAGGGGCACATCGGGGCTCTGGAGCACACCAGGGCTCAGGGGCACATCAGGGCTCTGGAGCACACCAGGGCTTAGTGGAGCATCAGGGCTCTGGAGCACACCAGGGCTCAGGGGAACATCAGGGCTCTGGAGCACACCAGGGCTCAGGGGAATATAAGGGCTCTGAAGCACACCAGGGGTCAGGGACACATCAGGGCTCTGGAGCACACCAGGGCTCATGGGAACATCAGGGCTCTGAAGCGCACCACGGCTCAGGGACACATCAGGGCTCTGGAGCACACCAGGGCTCAGAGACCCATGAGGACTCTGGAGCACACCAGGGCTCAGGGACACATCAGGGCTCTGGAGCACACCATTGCTCAGGGGAACATTGGGGCTCTGGAGCACACCAGGGCTCAGGGGCACATGAGGACTCTGGAGCACACCAGGGCTCAGGGACACATCAGGGCTCTGGAGCACACCAGGGCTCAGTGACACATCAGGGCTCTGGAGCACACCAGGACTCAGGGGCACATCAGGGCTCTGGAGCACACCAGGGCTCAGGGGCACATCAGGGCTTTGGAGCACACCAGGGCTCAGGGGCACATCAGAGCTCTGGAGCACACCAGGGCTCAGGGGTACATCAGAGCTCTGGAGCACACCAGGGCTCAGGGACACATCAGAGCTCTGGAGCACACCAGGACTCAGGGGCACATCAGGGCTCTGGAGCACACCAGGGCTCAGGGGCACATCAGCGCTCTGGAGCACACCAGGGCTCAGGGGCACATCAGGGCTCTGGAGCACACCAGGGCTCAGGGACACATCAGGGCTCTGGAGCACACCTGGGCTCAGGGCCACATCAGGGCTCTGGAGCGCACCAGGGCTCAGGGGCACATGAGGGCTCTGGAGCACACCAGGGATCAGGGGCACATAAGGGCTCTGGAGCACACAAGGGCTCAGGGACACATCAGGGCTCTGGAGCACACCAGGGCTCAGGGACACATCAGGGCTCTGGAGCACACCAGGAATCAGGGGCACATCAGGGCTCTGGAGCACACCAGGGCTCAGGGGCACATCAGGGCTCTGGAGCACACCAGGGCTCAGAGGCACATCAGTGCTCTGGAGCACACCAGGGCTCAGGGGCACATCAGAGCTCTGAAACACACCAGGGCTCAGGGACATATCAGGGCTCTGGAGCACACCAGGGCTCAGGGGTACATCAGAGCTCTGAAACACACCAGGGCTCAGGGACATATCAGGGCTCTGGAGCACACCAGGGCTCAGAGGCACATCAGGGCTCTGAAGCACACCAGGGCTCAGGGACACATCAGAGACAGAGACAGACAGACAGGGTTTACGAAGATTCTCTAGTCATTATTTCCTGTCAAGTGTCATGCAGGCTTTCTAATCTATGTAATAATTCTTGGTCTCCATTGTTATCGTTCCCCTGTTGTGGTGTCAGAGGAAGTGGAGAATTTGAAAGCAAGACCTTCATATATCTATCATATTCTTATCTGTCTCACAGATTTTTTAGGTTATTAGTGATGTTCTCTGTCAGATAACCTAACTGGGAAACCCATATTTGACATGCTGTCTGTTTCATCCGTGTAAAATATTGACAATTGCGACTTAAGTACTTATACGTCATGTAATTTGGACACTTCCTATATTTTTGGTAACACACATGTGCTCCCAGTTTTATCATATTTCCAAAAAAAGGTTATAGAAGCATACCTCGGGCAGTGACGATAAGCTTTTATTCGAATTTTTAACCCGGGGGAAGGTTAGACACACAGGATGACCTAGTAAAGTCAGTGCGTCATCGGGGCCTGAATGTCTTATTTCCATTGAAATCCTTTAATCTTGTCCCCCAGGATGTGACCCACACCAGTCGATTAACACCCGGATACCTACTTACTGCTATTTAAACACGGGCAGTAGGTATAAGGAAACATTCCCATTGTTTCACCCATACCGGGATCGATCCCAGTCCCTCAACATGTTTAATGAGTGCTCGTGTCCCACGACACGAGCACTCATTAAACACGAAAGATACGGCTGAGCTCAATATAGCGGTATATAAAACTGAGGAAGGTGTGTCATGGTGGTGGTGAAAGAGCCAGAGGTATGCACTGCACGCCCAAAAGCTATTAAGAATGCTGGCCGGAAGGTAGCTTCGTGTGAGAGTCGGAGGCTCGCCTGGGAGAAAAAACATATCTAGGCCAGTAAGAGAGCTCAGGTGGGTCGCGACCCATATTTAGCAGCAAGCAGAGCTTGTTTGGCTTGTCATTGTGATTGTCTATGCTTCATCTTGTTTGCCCTGTTTGTTTTGTCTTGGTATCACCATCTTTATTGCCAGTATTTTACTACCAGAAATTAAATACTGCTATAACGAAGAGGTCTCGTGAAATTATTAAAGTCACACTTCCATTAGAATGTAAAATATGTTTACTGAAGAGGTTAGATCATGCCAACCAGTGGTGCTACAAGGAGAGAAAACCAGTGTTATAAACACTAACATAACCCAGAGTCTTAACAGACACTAACATAAACCTGAATTTTTATAGACAATAAAATAAACCAGAGTCCTCATGGGCATAAAGCAGAGTCTTTAAAGACACTGACACAAACGAAAAATGATTAACGTAGTTTAGTATTTTAAATAATATACTACCTGTAATATTTTAACTATGGCTTACTGAGTCCATGTTGAAGATGGTGGTAATGTATTACCACCATCTTCAACAAGGTCAAGACCCATGTTTAAACTACCGAGGTTTTCTGCCTTCAGCTAAGTCCCTACCAACACTACCAACAAGGGTATCTTGGTACAGACCTGCAATCAACTTCGACAACTTCCACTAGTGAGAGGGGCTGGATTTGAGAGGGACCTGACCTGTCAACATCTGAGTTCTTACCTCTCCTAGTGGCCTACGTCTCACCTCTTGGCGCTATAAAAAGCTCCATCCTGTCACTTCTTCTCCATATTGTTTCATACTTTGGAACAATGCTCTTCTCCAGACTGAGGGACTGACCACCTCAAATACTTTAAGGGTGATGGACTGATTACATCGTCTTCAAGTATCTTCTGCTTCTATCAACTTTTCTGTACTTGACTGAAGAAGCCTACTGTGTAGGCGAAACGTTTCATAATAAAGATACCTAACTGTTGCATATGTGTCTTACCTAACAACCTGTCGGTATTTTATACCATTTTAATGTTCACTACCTAGACTCACTTCTAGTTTTTCAATGGAGCTCTGCTAAAACCACCACCATTACCTAGAGTATACCTGGAGGGTGTTCCAGGGGTCAACGCCCCCGCGGCCCGGTTCATGACCAGCATTAGAAAGACTTGGATCACGTTGGTTGTTTGATGATAAGACTATAGGGTTTTGGTTCTTTGTGGGAGTTTGGTAACATTAACACCATTGTTAAAACTATGGAGCACTGCCAGCACTATGATGGTTCACGTCAAACACTCCCATCCATCGCCACCAAGACTTGTGTCCTGGTTTGGTTGCGTTGCTGCAACACTATGGCTGTTACTCTCCAGCACTTGCAACATTACCATCAGTTTCAACACTCACATTTAGGATCTCGGATGGCAGAGGAGTTGCTGACTGTAGCAGTCATCCCAAGTGAGGCCGTGGACGCCAGTACCACAACCGCTATCATCCACGTCAACATTCTGAAACACAACAAATATACACATGATCTACCTGTACACAGTGCTTCCCAAAACTCCCATATGAAAAAAAAAGGCCAAAACATCCAAATATACAAACACATTCACTTCCTCCATACTCCTTCCTTCCAATCTGATATCCAATCTGGTATTCTCCTCTTCGACAGATCCTCCCAGACTCCCGCACTTTCCACAACTTCCCTTCACAATCTCCCATAAGATCCAACCCAACAACCAGAATGAAAACAAACTGTGACAATTCCCTCCACCTATCATCCTCAGCTTTTAATGGGTAACAAGACACAAATGGAACATCTGGGTATCTTCACAAGATACCCAAACATTGCTTCCCTGTCCACTCTGCCACAGCAACTACGTAGGCTGTCTGCCACATTACTTCCTGTCCACTCTGCCACAGCAACTATGCAGGCTGTCTGCCACATTACTTCCTGTCCACTCTGTCACAGCAACTATGCAGGCTGTCTGCCACATTACTTCCTGTCCACTCTGTCACAGCAACTATGCAGGCTGTCTGCCACATTACTTCCTGTCCACTCTGCCACAGCAACTATGCAGGCTGTCTGCCACATTACTTCCTGTCCACTCTGCCACAGCAACTACGCAGGCTGTCTGCCACATTACTTCCTGTTCACTCTGCCACAGTAACTACGCAGGCTGTCTGCCACTACTTCCTGTCCACTCTGCCACAACAACTACGCAGGCTGTCTGCTAATATTTTCTGTCCACTCTGTCACAGCAACTACGCAGGCTGTCTGCCACACTACTTCCTGTCCACTCTGCCACAGCAACTACGTAGCCTGTCTGCCACACTACTTCCCTGTCCACTCTGCCACAGCAACTACGCAGACTGTCTGCCACACTACTTCCTGTCCACTCTGCCACAGCAACTACGTAGCCTGTCTGCCACACTACTTCCCTGTCCACTCTGCCACAGCAACTACGCAGGCTGTCTGCCACACTACTTCCTGTCCACTCTGCCACAGCAACTACGTAGCCTGTCTGCCACACTACTTCCCTGTCCACTCTGCCACAGCAACTACGCAGGCTGTCTGCCACACTACTTCCTGTCCACTCTGCCACAGCAACTACGTAGCCTGTCTGCCACACTACTTCCCTGTCCACTCTGCCACAGCAACTACGCAGGCTGTCTGCCACACTACTTCCTGTCCACTCTGCCACAGCAACTACGTAGCCTGTCTGCCACACTACTTCCCTGTCCACTCTGCCACAGCAACTACGCAGGCTGTCTGCCACACTACTTCCCTGTCCACTCTGCCACAGCAACTACGCAGGCTGTCTGCCACACTACTTCCCTGTCCACTCTGTCACAGCAACTACGCAGGCTGTCTGCCACACTACTTCCTGTCCACTCTGCCACAGCAACTACGTAGCCTGTCTGCCACACTACTTCCCTGTCCACTCTGCCACAGCAACTACGCAGGCTGTCTGCCACACTACTTCCCTGTCCACTCTGCCACAGCAACTACGCAGGCTGTCTGCCACACTACTTCCCTGTCCACTCTGCCACAGCAACTACGCAGGCTGTCTGCCACACTACTTCCCTGTCCACTCTGCCACAGCAACTACGCAGGCTGTCTGCCACACTACTTCCCTGTCCACTCTGCCACAGCAACTACGCAGGCTGTCTGCCACACTACTTCCCTGTCCACTCTGCCACAGCAACTACGCAGGCTGTCTGCCACACTACTTCCCTGTCCACTCTGCCACAGCAACTACGCAGGCTGACTGCCAAAGAATAGATACCCCCTCCCCCCGTCTTATGTATATAATAAACACACCAACCACTCCGAAAAAGTGTCTCCACACCAGCTGTTTAACACTCCTGCCTTCATTCCATCTGTGTCAGCTGTTGTACCATCTTTTATTGTATCCTCTGGCTCACACACACACACACACACACACACACACACACACACACACACACACACACACACACACACACACACACATCGAGGCCAGGAGCTATGACTCGACCCCTGCAACCACAATTATGTGAGCACTCACTTCCTGAGAGATTTCAACAGTATACTAAGTAGTGATCCATTTCGTATTAATTTGCATTAATTAAAACAGTAATCACACTTAGGTAGTAAGTCCCGGAGCGTTTCGCACACACAACGAGCTTCTTCAATCGAATACAAAGGCAAATATGGAGACAGCGGAAGCAGCGGAGAGGTGAGGATAGGAGGTCAGTCCCTCAGCCTGGAGGCGTGATCACGTCACCTTGACCTCCTCACTGATTCTTTCTGCATTTTTATCCACCTTAATATATATCAGACTGTTGAAGTCTCCCTGAGAGGTCTTGTGTGTGTGTGTGTGTGTGTGTGTGTGTGTGTGTGTGTGTGTGTGTGTGTGTGTGTGTGTGTGTGTGTGTGGGTGTACTCACCTAGTTGTGGTTGCAGGGGTCGATTCATAGCTCCTGGCCCTGGTATGTGTGTGTGTTATGTACATATATATATATATATATATATATATATATATATATATATATATATATATATATATATATATATATATATATATATATATATATATATATATATATATATATATATATATATATATATATATATATACATATATTCCTTGAAAGTGGTAAAGACTTGGTAGTCAGGTTTGATCCAAGGGACAGGAGTGGCTCAAATTCCTTGAATCAAGAGCGCTTCATCAGATTCAAAGCATCCCCCTTTGTATCATGGTCACCGTAATGATGGTCATGTTCACTCATGTTTACTGTGAGGGTGGTCATGCTCACCGTAATGGTGATAATGTTCACTGTGGAGGTAGTCATGTTCACTGTGATGGTGGCCATGTTCACTCATGCTCACTGTGATAGTGATCATGTTCACCGTAATGGTAGTCATGTTCACTCATGTTCACTGTGATAGAGGTCATGTTCACCGTAATGGTGATCATGTTCACTGTGATGGTAATCATGTTCACCCATGTTCACTGTGATGGTGGTCATGTTCACCGTAATAGTGGTCATGTTCACTCATGTTCACTGTGATGGTGGCCATATTCACTAATCCTCACTGTGATAGTGGTCATGTTCATTCATGTTCACTGTGATGGTAATCATGTTCACTGTGATAGTGGTCATGCTCACCATAATGGTGGTCATGTTCACTCATGTTCACTGTGGTGGCAATCATGTTCACTGTGATAGTGGTAATGTTCACCATGATGGTGGTCATGTTCACTGTGATGGTGGTCATATTCACTGTGATGGTGATCATGTTCACCATAATGGTGGTCATGTTCACTGTGATGGTGGTCATGTTAACCGTAATGATGGTCATGTTCAGTGTGATGGTGATCATGTTCACTCATGATCATGGTGATGGTGGTCATGTTCACCATAAGAGTGGTCATGTTCACTGTGATGGTGGTCATGTTCACCGTAATGATGGTCATGTTCACTGTGATGGTGGTCATGTTCACCGTAATGGTGGTCATGTTCACTGTGATGGTGGTCATGTTCACCGTAATGGTGGTCATGTTCACTGTGATGGTGGTCATGTTCACCGTAATGGTGGTCATGTTCACCGTAATGGTGGTCATGTTCACTGTGATGGTGGTCATGTTCACCGTAATGGTGGTCATGTTCACTGTGATGGTGGTCATGTACACTGTGATGGTGGTCATGTTCACTGTGACGGTGGTCATGTTCACCATAAGTGTGGTCATGTTCACTGTGATGGTGGTCATGTTCACCGTAATGGTGGTCATGTTCACCGTAATGGTGGTCATGTTCACTGTGATGGTGGTCATGTTCACCGTAATGGTGGTCATGTTCACTGTGATGGTGGTCATGTTCACCGTAATGGTGGTCATGTTCACTGTGATGGTGGTCATGTACACTGTGATGGTGGTCATGTTCACTGTGATGGTGGTCATGTTCACTGTGATGGTGGTCATGTTCACCATAAGTATGGTCATGTTCACTGTGATGGTGGTCATGTTCACCATAAGTATGGTCATGTTCACTGTGATGGTGGTCATGTTCACCATAAGTGTGGTCATGTTCACTGTGATGGTGGTCATGTTCACTGTGATAGTGACACTACCCGTTATTACAAATCACTTTCATTCCTGTTATCCTCACACCTCACTGCATAACAAACAGAAACTGCAACGGAAACACGACATTACTGTTGGTAAACAGAATCTTCCTTATACAAACAGGAGGTATCAAGGACACCAGTTAACAGGAGATACCATGATCACCAGTAAACAGGAGGTACCATGGACACCAGTTAACAGGAGGTACCATGGACACCAGTAAGCAGGAGGTACCATGGACACCAGTAAACAGGAGGTACCAAGGACACCAGTTAACAGGAGATACCATGATCACCAGTAAACAGGAGGTACCATGGACACCAGTTAACAGGAGATACCATGATCACCAGTAAACAGGAGGTACCATGGACACCAGTTAACAGGAGGTATCATGGACACCAGTAAACAGGAGGTACCATGGACACCAGTTAACAGGAGGTACCATGGACACCAGTAAGCAGGAGGTACCATGGACACCAGTTAACAGGAGGTACCATGGACACCAGTAAACAGGAGGTACCATGGACACCAGTAAACAGGAGGTATCATGGACACCAGTTAACAGGAGGTACCATGGACACCAGTTAACAGGAGGTACCATGGTCACTAGTAAACAGGAGGTACCATGGTCACCAGTAAGCAGGAGGTACCATGGACACCAGTTAACAGGAGGTACAATGGACACCAGTTAACAGGAGGTATCATGGACACCAGTAAACAGGAGGTATCATGGACACCAGTTAACAGGAGGTATCATGGACACCAGTTAACAGGAGGTATCATGGACACCAGTTAACAGGAGGTACCATGGTCACTAGTGAACAGGAGGTATCATGGACACCAGTAAACTGGAGGTGCCACTAACGCCAATAAACACCACTAACGCCAGTAATCAGAAGACACCACTAACGCTAATAAACACTGTAACACCTTAAAACACGTACTGGCCGTTTTTATATATATATAAATATATAAATCAAATGTGTATGCAGGGGAGCGCCAGACCGGCCAGACGCGCGACTAGAGAGTGAATGACCCGCGAAGCTGGGCGCTTGGGGTTTATATAGGCTGGTGCCCCCCCCCCGCGCGCCGAGCCTCTTGGGCGCATGCGCCAGCCAACCATGTCCTACAACGGTGATATGGGTCAGCCATGGTCCGCTTGCGGCCAGGGCCATGGCCAGGGCCACGGACGCAGCTAGGGCCACGCAAGGAAAAGGGAAGTTGAGGATAGGCGAGGTGCTTGACCGCGCCGAAGGAAGGTGGGATGGATGGCCTTCTAAGTGGCCACTTAGAAGGAAGGAATGACAACTTAGAAGGAAGGAATGACCACTTAGAAGGAAGGACTGACAACTGAGAAGAGTGGGAGGGAGGCAGGAAGGAGGGAAGGGAAAAGATAAAATGAATAAGAGATAACGTGAAGGAGGAAGGAAGATGGCGTGGGATGGAATGAAGCAGTGGGAGGGAGACGGTATGCTATGAAGGAGAGAAAGTGGGAGGGAGGGAGGGAGGGAGGGAGGGAGGGAGGGAGGGAGACGTGCGTGTGAGAAACACAGAGAAGCGTTGTGATGGAGGGAGGTATGAAGAAGTAGGAGTGGAAATATATATAAAAAAAAGAGGGGAACGAAGAAGAAAACAGAATGAGGGAGGGAGAAAGAAAGAGAGAGTGAGGGAGAAAGAAGGAAAAATAGGAAGATGGTTAAAAAGGAAAGGCAAAACCATCTAGCTTCTCCATCTATATTCTTACTTTCATTACTTTCTCTTCTTCGTTCCTCCATCTATCCTCTTCCTCCATCAATCTCTCACTCCTTAAGGTACAGTCAGACACTACATCTACATACCTGCACGCTCTGGTCAGGATCTTACTCCCTCCCTCCTCCATCACTGCCTCCCTAACCCACCTCCATCACTGCCTCCCTGACCCACCTCCATCACTGCCTTTTCTGACCCACCTCCATCACTGCCCTTCCTGACCCACCTCCATCACTGCCTCCCTGACCCACCTCCATCACTGCCTTTCCTGACCCACCTCCATCACTGCCCTTCCTGACCCACCTCCATCACTGCCTCCCTGACCCACCTCCATCACTGCCTCCCTGACACACACATACACACACGTTGGCTGCAGGCCTGGTCCAGCAACTGGGCCCTGGAGTTTAACCCAACCAAGTGCAAGATCGGGGAAGGTCAAAAAAGACCGCAGACAGAGTACAGTCTAGGTGGCCAAAGACTGGAAACCTCACTTAAAGAAAAGGATCCTGAGGTAATACCGGGCACATCTCCTGAGGTGCACATCAGCCCAATAACTGCTGCAGCATATGGGTGCCTGGCAAACCTATGAATAACATTCTGACACCTGAGTAAGGAGCTATTCAAAACTCTATACACCGTGTACGCCAGGCCCATATTGGAGTATGCAGCACCGGTATGGAACCCACACTTGCTCAAGTACGTCAAGAAATTAGAGAAAGTGCAAAGGTTTCCAGCAAGACTAGTCCCGGAGCTAAGGGGTATGCCCTACGAAAAGAGGTTAAGGGAAATCAACCTGACGACACTGGAGGACAGGAGGGACAGGGAGGACATGATAACAACATATAAAATACTGAGAAGAATCTACAAGGTGGATGGGGACAGGATGTTTTAGAGATGGGGCACAGAAACAATGGGACACATCTGGAGGTGTATGCCTGAAGGATGTTTCGGGGGTGAACGCCCCCGCGGCCCGGTCCATGATCAAGCCTTTCGGTGGATCAGAAGCTGTTACTGTTGGCCGCACGTAAACCGACGTACGAACCATAGCCCGGCTGGTCAGGTACTGACTTTAGGTGCCTGTAAAGCTCCCTCTTGAAGACAGCCAAGGGTCTTGAGGACAGCCAAGGGTCTTGAAGACAGCCAAGGGTCTTGAAGACAGCCAGGGGTTTAATGATAATCCCCCCCTTATGTATGTTGGAAGGCAGCTGGACAGTCTTGAGCCCCTGACACTTATTGTGTTGTCTGTTAGCGTACTCGTGTCGCCCCTGCTTTTCATTGGGGGGGGGGGATTTTGCATCTCCTGCCAAGTCTTTTGCTTACCATTATCATACATTTTGTGTGTTATTGCACCGTGGATGCACTTGTCGAAGGCTTTTGCAAAGTCTGTGTATACCACATCTGCATTTTTTTTTGTCTTCCAGAGCATCCAAGACAACGTCATAATGGTCCAGTAGTTGTGAGAGGTAGGAACAACCATCCAAGATCATGTCATAATGGTCCAGTAGTTGTGAGAGGTAGGAACGACCATCCAAGATCATGTCATAATGGTCCAGTAGTTGTGAGAGGTAGGAACGACCATCCAAGATCATGTCATAGTGGTCCAGTAGTTGTGAGAGGTAGGAACGACCATCCAAGATCATGTCATAGTGGTCCAGTAGTTGTGAGAGGTAGGAACGACCATCCAAGATCATGTCATAGTGGTCCAGTAGTTGTGAGAGGTAGGAACGACCATCCAAGATCATGTCATAGTGGTCCAGTAGTTGTGAGAGGTAGGAACGACCATCCAAGATCATGTCATAGTGGTCCAGTAGTTGTGAGAGGTAGGAACGACCATCCAAGATCATCTCATAGTGGTCCAGTAGTTGTGAGAGGCAGGAACGACCATCCAAGATCATGTCATAGTGGTCCAGTAGTTGTGAGAGGTAGGAACGACAATCCAAGATCATGTCATAGTGGTCCAGTAGTTGTGAGAGGTAGGAGCGACCATCCAAGATCATGTCATAGTGGTCCAGTAGTTGTGAGAGGCAGGGACGACCATCCAAGATCATGTCATAGTGGTCCAGTAGTTGTGAGAGGTAGGAACGACCATCAAAGATCATGTCATAATGGTCCAGTAGTTGTGAGAGGTAGGAACGACCATCCAAGATCATGTCATAGTGGTCCAGTAGTTGTGAGAGGTAGGAACGACCATCCAAGATCATGTCATAGTGGTCCAGTAGTTGTGAGGGGTAGGAACGACCATCCAAGATCATGTCATAGTGGTTCAGTAGTTGTGAGAGATAGGAACGACCATCCAAGATCATGTCATAGTGGTCCAGTAGTTGTGAGAGGTAGGAACGACCATCCAAGATCATGTCATAGTGGTCCAGTAGTTGTGAGAGGTAGGAACGACCATCCAAGATCATGTCATAGTGGTCCAGTAGTTGTGAGAGGCAGGAACGACCATCCAAGATCATGTCATAGTGGTCCAGTAGTTGTGAGAGGTAGGAACGACCATCCAACATCATGTCATAGTGGTCCAGTAGTTGTGAGAGGCAGGAACGACCATCCAAGATCATGTCATAGTGGTCCACTAGTTGTGAGAGGTAGGAACGACCATCCAAGATCATGTCATAGTGGTCCAGTAGTTGTGAGAGGTAGGAACGACCATCCAAGATCATGTCATAGTGGTCCAGTAGTTGTGAGAGGCAGGAACGACCATCCAAGATCATGTCATAGTGGTCCAGTAGTTGTGAGAGGTAGGAACGACCATCCAAGATCATGTCATAATGGTCCAGTAGTTGTGAGAGGTAGGAACGACCATCTAAGATCATGTCATAGTGGTCCAGTAGTTGTGAGAGGTAGGAACGACCATCCAAGATCATGTCATAGTGGTCCAGTAGTTGTGAGAGGCAGGAGCGACCTACTCTAAACCCATGCTGCCCTGGGTTGTGCAAATGATGGATATCCAAGTGGTTAGCGATCTTGCTTCTTAGAACCCTTTCAAAGATTTTTATGATGTTGGATGTTAGTGCAGTTGGTGTGCAATTCTTTGCAATTTACTGCCACCTTTGTGTAGTGGGGCAATCTCTGTTGTTTTTAGTGACTGTGGGATGACCCCTGTGTCCATGCTCCCTCTCCATAGAATACTTAAGGCACGTGAAAGGGGCTTCTCGCAGTTCTTGATGAACACGGAGTTCCACGAGTCTGGGTCTGGGGCAGAGTGAATGGCCATTATATTTATTGTTTTTTTAAAGTCCTGTGGTGTTAGGATTATATCAGAAATTCTTGAATTAAACTAATTTTGAGTCTCGGTCATAAAAAAAAATAGATTATCGACCCACAGTATGATTAACTGTTCACTGAACACTGAGTCATACCGGGACTTCAGTACCTCATATCTTTGCTGTCATCTATGTAAGTCCCAACTCGTTTCAACAAGAGTCCAGTAGTGCGTGCTGTTTTTGCTCTAGATTTGGCATAAGAATAGAAGTAATTTGCTTTGTTTTTCAATTTTATTTATGGGTCTAAGTTCTTCCTGTGTTTATTGTCTCCTGTGGTTTAGAAAGACACGTAAGCAAACACTATAACAAGGTTCAAGGTTCCAGGACCGAAACGTTTTCTAATAAATATGTTATAGTGTTTGCTTACGTGTCTTTCTAAACCAACTTGTCGGTATTTATTACCAAGGTTTATACCATTGTCTCCTGTATGATTCCTTAAGCTTAAGTTCAGTATTTACTATTTCTCCGGCGAGTGCCTCCTTACGTATTTGAGATAAACTGGTCCCTGTCAGGAGCTCTGTGATTCTTCGCCTTCTCTGTAGAGGCGAAGAAACACTATAGAGACTGAACACACTTATATGTGGTTGGAGGGGTCGAGTCACATCTCCTGGCCCCGCCTCTTCGCTAGTGGCTACTAAGTCCACTCTTTCCCTGCTCCAAGAGCCTTATCATACCTCTATTTCAAGCTATGTGTGGATCCTGCCTCCACTGCATCACACTGCAGAGAGCGAGAGAGAGAGAGAGAGGGAGAGAGAGAGAGAGAGAGAGGGTTACAGTCCCTGATGTAGACACTCTGGGTCAACATAATCTTGTATTCATCACAGTTCAGTCTGCCCCTCACTATCCACTTCTGATTTTCAGGATGAGTAAGACAGAATCACTTAGAGTAAACATGTCAGTGTAAGATACATGAACACAGCTGAGAACATAGAGTACAGTGAACACATGACTTTGTAGAGTGGACGCTGGGTACTTGGTACATCATCTTAATTTCTACACAGGAGTTGTGGATCAGTATGACACCACCACTACCACCACCACCACCACTACCACCACCACCACCACTACCACCACCACTC